CCCATGATAGTCTAAGGAGCAGGGGCAGGTTAAACCCCAAGCTGCTAAGACAACTGCTTAGTGGTGTGGGCTCAAGCTAAACTCACCCAAACAACGTTCATCCTCTCCTGTCCTTCCTAATGCCCTGGAACTCCTGTTTTCTCATCATCTACCCACTCTCCGCCTCTGAAACTCTCACTCACAAACACCTGCTTGCTGCTCAAGCACCATTCTTATGCAGCTGCCAGCTGCTGGCAGAAGCAGCTGCAGTTCCCCAGTGATGGCCACCTCCAGCAAACTCTTTTCCACCAGAGCAGTGTACCCAAGGCGTGCCCAGAGGCTGCTGGTGGGGCTGAGGGGGACCTGATGCTGAGAGCAGCTACATCCCTCATAACTGGTGCCAGATGGGAAGCGCTAGGGAACGGATGCAGGTAGCACAGCACAGGAATACACGGGGCTTCCTCTGACGTTGTGCCCTGTGACTAAGACATGTTATGACTTGACTTATCTTTCACAGAATGTGTGACAAGTTATTGCCCCCATTTACAGATAGGAAACAGGGCTGGGAGCTGGAAATAAAGTCAGACAATGAGTCAATATCAACCTAATGTTGGACTTCAGGACTTCCTGGCTCCACACAACCCAAGCATTCAGAGTACTTGCTCAAGGCACCTTTCCCTCTAGTCAAAGCATCGTTTACCAGTTACAGACCAGCTCCATAGAAGGGTGGCTTAACCCACTGACCTCCACACACTTGAGACTCAGAGACTGGATGGATTAACTGTCCACCTGTCCCCTTCAGGGCTGTAATCTCAGACTGGCTGCCAAACAGAGGATCAATCCAAGCTCATTTCATACCTCCTATGAAAAACACCGTTATTTACGGCAGACAAGCTATGTCAGAGAAGAACAGATATGAAGCTACACAGACTTGCAAGGCACATTTAGAGCTTACCTGTACACTTTCTAGCAAGTGACTTGAAACTGCAGAGCGATGAGAATGACTTCATTGCAGTGTGTGTCCTCTGTGCTGTGCCACAAGGACATCATAAAAGGGGATGTAGCTCTTCCTTCAGGTGAATACATAAAAGAAAAATTCAGGCAGAGCTTTAGGCTTAAGGCAATGGCAGTAAACCTCAACATGCAACTTCCCCATTCAGGGTCCAACTTCACACTTGTTGGAAGGATCTATTGCAGCAAAACGAACATACTTGGTTTCTAGCATAAGCTGTAGGACATGACTTTGCAATGCAGAAGGAAAGCACCACACCAGTGTATTATCACAGACAATTTTGGCAGAAGAGATGAGAAACAAGTGATGAAACCAATACTCATCAACACAGTTTATATGAATCAAGCAATTACATGGAGCGTGTTACTATAAACTATGTATGCCTTTGGTATTTATTAGCATGGCTTATTCTGCCAAAGGGTTGCTTCAGGTTTTGATTTCAAATTGATATTGCTAGCAAGGAAATACAAATGGGGGGACAAATACCATCTATGAGGTTTCACTGTCACTCTGTGGTCACTATTGTGTATAATACCCCTGCACAGCTGAATGTTACAAATAAACCCGATAAAGAGGGAACATTAATGTTCACTACTAAGTTTTCTACTCTGCCTAGTTATAGTTTAAAACAGCTGCCTAGCTCAGGGTCTTACCGGCAGGGTAGGAGCATCCGGATGGCACACAACCATACAGAAAAAAACTTCAGAGGTAACCTGTCAGGAGCATAAGCTACATCTAATTCATACAAAGTGACAGAGGGCAGCTGCTGCCAGCTCCAGCAGAGATTCAGCCCAGGGAGCTGGTGTGCAATGGTCACTAGTCTCCCTCCACAGGGTCTGCTTAGGTATTAAATAAGACAACAGCTGCAAATTAGAAACGGATGGTGAATAGGATTTTACATCAAACTGAGCAGCTGCTTTTTCCAGAGTAAAGGTTTGTGATTTCTTTGACAATAAGGAGCCTTTTTTTTTTTTTTTTAAGCAAGTGATGCCAATGGATATACCTTAACAAATCCCCACAAAATGGAGGTTACGGTACTGTGCGCTGAAAGCTGTTCCGTAATAGGTTTTGGAGGACTTCTGGACCCAGTCAAACACGATGCAGACTTTCACTCCCCCTCACTTGCTCCAGAAATGCCAACCCTCTCCTCACTGCCTAAGCTACCTTCTGAGATGTCGTGATCCTCCTCAGCAAGAGCTACACAAGCAACACTTCTCCGGCACTCCAGTCCTCCCACTTCCTCCTTCAGCAGCTTTAAAAGAAAAACGCAAGAACCGAGCTTTTTTGTGTAAACGCGCCCGCAGTTGATTAAAACATGTTTTTAGCAGAAGCTGGTGCTGGCAGCGAGAACAAAAGCCCTTGCCTCTCCCCATAATAAACCTCTACGATACAAATCCCCACTTGCAAACACAAAACCTAGTTCCCTTTTTATCTTTCGGTCTGTTTTTCACACCAAAATTCAGTCTCCGTAGAGACTGTCAAAAATTGCCAATGCCGACTATATTTCAAGTCGTCATGGCGGGGTATTGGGAAAAGTTTTCAATTAGCAATAATCGCGCCTCGGATTAACCTCATTGGCTACGATACTGCCACTGCGCAAAGCTAACCCCGTTCTGTCGCCGCCGCCGCCCCTCGCCCCGGGGCCGCCGCCGAGGTCGGGGCGAGCCCCGCCGCACGACCGCCCCCCCCTCCGTGCCTTCCCCGGTAGCGATTCCCACCCGCCACCGTGCCTTCCGCGCACCGCCGGAGCCGGGCGCCCCGTTCCCCCCCCCCCCCAATCCGGACCGAGCGGCGGGACGGCCGCGAAGCTTACTGGGAAGGAGTATGCAAAGTAGGCGTGACGTCAGGGCGCGCATTTCTCTGTTGAATGAGGGGCTCCCCACTGACTCCGCGCCAACATCAGCCCATCCCGGGGACACCCCAGTCTGGGGACCCCCCCCCAGCGCGCTGCGCCCCCGCCGAGACGTCCCCCCCGCGTGTTCCCCATTGCCTCAGACCCGGGGTTCCACGATCTGTTCTTTTCTGTCTTTAACCACATAAAACCAGCCTCCGAAGAGGCTCTCAAAAATTGCCAATGCCGACTATATTTCAAGTCGTCATGGCGGGGTATTGGGAAAAGTTTTCAACTAGCAATAATCGCGCCTCGGATTAACCTCATTGGCTACGATACTGCCACTGCGCAAAGCTAAAGGACCCGTCCCCCTCCCGCCACCCCCCCCG